AAATGGAATACTCTGGAACTTGGTTTAAAAATATGAACGAATCCCATAGGTTGGCTCAGCCATCCATTCACACATTCAGTAAAAACTACACAAAATTGAAATTGAAAGAGATGAAATCCACTGGGGAGGGCATATGGAATCAAATCTACACAAAATTTGAGATTTCACGGCTATAGAAGAATGATACTGTATGATGGAGAAGAAAAGAGATGGGTGCAGTGACACAGAGACAGTTGTGATCTAATTGGCGGGTGGCGGGTGGCGGGTGGCGGTTGTGGAGTTGAGGCTTGAGAGAAAGGTGATGATGATGAATGAGGATGAGTGAGTGACGAAAATTGGATGTGACTTGATTTGATCTAATTGTAATTATAATTAAAGCTATTTTTGATTTGGTCTGATCTGGTGTGGTGCGATCTGATTATAATAAAAATAAGAAATAAGCAGAAAAAATAAGTCGAGCGGAATGCTACCTAAATGATTCTTGGAGAAAAGATTTGGAAGTAAAACTCTAGATTGGATTTTCCAGTTGACCATGATTTAGTTCTCCTTTGACCATATTTTCCTCTCAATGCCAAACATTAAAAAGTTAGAAAATGACATTCAGAAGTCATTTTTCTAGTTTTCAAATAGTACCTAAAGGATTAACCAGACTATTCAATTGATCTATTCAATTAATCTTAGTATAAAGCGCAATTTAGTTTTTGAATGACTAATCATATACTCCCTCCGTTCCTAAATAGATTACAATTTTATTTTCTCTCTCCTCTCGATAATTTTTGTTTGTTTACGTGATTTCATTAATTATTTAATAAAATAAAATATTTTTATCACCTCTTATTTTGTACTCCCTCCGTCCCATTTTAAATTGCCTGTTTGCCTTTTTTCTCCGTCCCAAAATAAGTTGTCTGTTAGTTGTTTTCGTAAACTTTTAAAAATAAAATACCTAAACTACTCCTAAAATAAGTCACTCTTCTTCACCTTATCTTTTCATTCATCATCACTCCTTCTAAAAAGTAATGACAATTTCGGAAAATCAACTTTATTTTTTATTTTCCTTAAATATGCCCAAAAATCAAAACAGGCAATTTAAATTGGGACGGAGGGAGTAGAACTTTTGACGTAGTTTTTTAATATGTAATTTTTATATCTTATTGATATACCAATTTGTAAATAAAATGATTTTTAAAAAGTAGAAAATTTTACTCTTTAACTCACAATTTGAAATCAAACTGGGGACGGAAGGAGTATCCAACTTATCTCATCCAACTTTGAAAAGTGTCATCACCTCATTAAAAACCAACTCGTTTTGAATATATATATATATATATATATATATATATATATATATATAGGGATTGACTCCAGTCATATGACAAAATTCAGTCAGATGACACTTTCGGTCAGATGACAGTGTTTGGTTCATTCTGGATCAATGTAGTGCTCATTCTAACCCAACGTAGGCTTCATTCTCACACAACTGTTCATCACAACGTACTATTCGTTTCAAAAAAGCATAGTGTGCATTCCAAGTGAGGCAATTGACAATAAAGGGTTCATTTTGAATAACATGATGTTCATTATCAAACCCATATATATATATATATATATATATATATATATATATATATATATATATATATATATATATATATATATATATATATATATATATATATATATATATATATATATATATATATATATATATATACCAAAACCGGACCGGACCCGAACCAGAATTGCAATTTCTTTAAGAACGAAGATTGGACTTGTTTATTTCCGGTCCGGACCAGTTCGGACCTGTTTTTTCCGTTCTGGTTCGGTTTTACCCTACTTTAGACCGATTTTTTATATTTTTTTGCAATCTTAGAAATGAATTAAATTATTAAATAAATTTAAAAAAATTGAAATAAAAAGTTGTTTTTGTTCAAAGTATTTAATAAAAATAGTACTTATAAGTAGTAGCAACAAATTCATCAAAACTTATTTTATAACTTATTCAAATTTATAAACTACCGTAAAAATAATAATCTAAAATAAATTATTTAAAAACTAAATATTGGAAAAATGAAATTCAGGAATCTAAAACTATATGGATTAGATTTAATGCTTTTGGACTTGAAAGTAATAATGGATACAGTTTATATAATATATTACGGTCTGGACAAGAAAATTCTGGGTCAAACCCGGACTGGACCAGAAACCCAATCCCTAATTTGTAAAACCCGAGGACCAGACCTGAATCTTCCGAACATGTCCATTCGGGTCCGGTTCAGGTTTCAAATCTGGTCCAGACTAGGGGTGGACACGGTACCGGCACGGTACTGCCGGTACCCGCCACTGTCACCGGTTCCGGGAACCGGTACAGGTCCGGTTCCAGTACCCACTTTTTCATTACCGGTACCGGTCCGGTACCGGTTAATATTTTTTTTTCCACTTTTGCTCCCAACGGTCCTTTGCTCTGCTCGCCTCTGCACCACTGCAAATCTGCAACCTGCAAAACAGAAAAAGAAAAAAAATTAGTGGGGGGGCACACCTCAAACACCTCAAAAATTAGTGGTGGAAGCGGAACGAACACATGTTCCCATGTCTGGCAATGCTAGCAAGACAAGTGTTGTCCGTCCCGGTATCAACCGTAGCAGTTGAACGAGAATTCAGTGCTGGCGGCAACATTTTAACCGACTACTGAAATTGTCTTAGCGCTGAATCTATTGAAACACTTGTTTGCAACCAAGATTGGCTCTTGGCAAGACGTCGAGCTCAAGAGTCATCGTACCAACTCGATTCGGAGCATTACATGAATGTAACTACAGATGGAAGTCTGAGTTCTGAAGAATAAGTGATAAACTTTTTTATGTTAATGTAAATATGTAATTAGTTTTTTTAGGTGAGCGATATAAAAGCTCTTTCGAGGGTTTCTTTACGGTTCTTACCTCGTCGCTTTTTTTGAACAGTTAGGATATTAAATGTAGTTGTTCTTCATTTCGTATATTACTTATTTTACAATATTTAAATAAAACCTACATTTTTATATTCTTTTCATTCTTTCCTTAAACAATTGTGAATTTACACTTTTACACTTTAGAAATTTTAAAAAAAGCAAAAAAAAAGGGGGGGGGGAGGCAAAACCGGCCGGTCTGGGACCAGAATCGCCGGTCCGGGAACCGGAACCGGTACCGGCCGGTCCGGTCACGGTGCCGGTGCTGGTGCCATGGGGTGGCGGTACCGGAACCGGCGGTTCCGGAACCGTACCGTGTCCACCCCTAGTCCAGACCTGTTTTTGAACACCCCTAACTATATATTTAAATGTAGTTTTATGTTGATTTTGGAACTCAACCATTTTTGACTTTTTGCATTAGCATTTTAGAATCTTTTGTTTTAATAGTGTTTTTGTTGTTTGCTTAGGCAAAATTACCAAAGTTACTCCCAAATTAAATTTGGTATCATTTTTATTAGGCCATTGCCTAGTAATATAATTTTTCTAAAAACTCAACTTTTCGGATAATCCAGTGATCCGATCCGAAAAATTAGATATCCGAAATTCGGATATTCGAATATTTTCGGATCGGATATGGAATGAGTTTTACATGATCCGAAAATTTTGGATATCCGAAATTTCGGATTGGATCGATTTGATTGATCACCTCTACCCCCGAATCATTCCATGACATTTCGGGCAATGTCATGGGAACCTGGGTGCGGTTAATATCATTGCATAACTAAGGGGGGTGTATTCAATTCGGATTTTAAAAGATTTTGATAAATTGTTTAAAATCTAAAGATTAAATAAAATCAACGAATTATTTTAAGTCTATGCAGAGTTTGATAGATTTTGATGTATTTTTCAATGGATTTTTGTATGATTGTTTATTATCCATTATTACTTTTTTGAGTAAATTCCATAATTGGTCCTTTATAATAGAGGGATTTCCATATTTAATCCTCTATTATCAAATATTACCCTGTAGTCTCTTTTTTAATGGTACCTTTCCACAAATGGTCCTTTTTTGATCTTTTGGCGTGTTGGTGTTAATTTAAAGGCTAAAAGTATAATTTGACATCAACATTATGTTTAGTGACGTGTTTTGATATTGGTTAAGCGAATAACACAAAAATAATGACTATGGTTGTGGGCTAGGGTTCTGACGAAAAATCACATTTGTCGACTATGGTTGTAGTAGAAAGCGACTGTAACTCACAAACGACGCAAACCGAACAGCCTTTGAAATTGTGTATGACAAAAAAAAATATTTTCATTGTGAAATTATACTTTTAGCTCTCAAATTAACCCCAACATGATAGAAGATCAAAAAAAGAACTATTTGATGAAAGGTACTCATAAAAGAAGGACCACTTGAATAATATTTGATAATAGGGGACTAAGGCTCCGTTTTGTTCAACTTATTGTTTCTAATCTGATCTGATTATAATAAATTCTGATCTGATCTGATTGGATCTGATCTGGTCTTATTTGATTAATTATGATTTAATTTAAAATTTCAAATTAATAATTTAATTTGACTTTATAAAGGACCAATTATAAAATTTACTTTACTTTTTTTTTATCCTTTTCTATTTTTCTCTTTCTCAGCTTTTCTTCCTCTTTTTCTTCTCAACACCGTGCGTACCTTCTTCTCCTTTCTCCTTCTTTCTTTTTTTCTTTCCTTTGATAAAAAAAGGATCACTTAAATAATATTTGATAATAAGGAATTAATTAGAGAAACACTTCTATTAGGACCAATTATATAATTTACTTTAATTTTTTTATTCTTTTCTACAGTATTTTTCTCTTTCTCTGTAACATCGTGCGTCCCTTCTCCTTTCTCCTTCTTTCTTTTTTTCTTTTTTTTCTTTCTCCTTTTCCATCTTCCTCACCTCTCCTCCGTTCCTCCTATCTCCGCCGGCTCCATCAACATCCTTGATCCTTTTTCCGACGCCCAAGGAGATCGAGACCGCCGACAAGGTCCCCCCTTTCGTCTACACCTTCTAAAACCTCGTCACGGACATTTACAAGTGGGGTTGGGGCCAATCCTTCCACTTCTCCCCCTCCATCCAGGGGAAATCCCATCGCGATCTGCTCGGAGTTGAAGGCCGGCGACCGAATCCTGGACGCCGGCTGCGGCGTAGGGGGTCTGATGCGTTCCATTGCTGCCCGTCCTGGACGCAGGTTTCTCCTCTTTCTTCAATTTCCCCTTCTTCTTCTTCCCCGTCTCCATCCCCGTCCACCGTCCCTGCCAACGAACGTATGTTTCAGTCCACCGCCGATTGCAAGTCAGTTGGCTTTTTTTTATCATTGCACAAATCAGCCGTTTACAACCAAATCCATTGAAATCTCTAGATGTTTTCATAGATTTGTAAAATGAATTTTCTTGAGAAAAATAACCTCAATTTTTTTGGGGTTTTATTCAAATCCAAAAAAAAAAACAAAACAAATTTCCTCTATGAAACCTTTTTCAAAACAAGGTTGAATCTAAGCCAAATTCAAATACTAATGCCAAAATACAAAGCAAGATATTATGCACAGGTAAATGTACAGGTAAATTTTCTTGAAACCTTGTGTTGGTTCTCCATTTACCACCTCACAAAAATGCACAGGTACATTCACATGTTCAAGAGCATGATATTATGATAATAGGATTGTTCACAAGAAAGAACTGTAGGAGCGCTATTGTTTTGCAACGAGGTGTATAACCTTATCAATCAAAATAGTTTCAAGACAACAATTTCAAAATCCATGAGCATTTAAACTTCTATAACTCCATCTATGAGTGCATTGAAATAATACAGTTCCCCCATGATTAATTATTGGAGATCTTCTGACATGCCTTCTTACAAAAAGGTGGACTAATATTACAGAGCGAGAGGGATCCAAATGTAACCATGGGTTTGGGTGTAGCCTACCCTTTTGAGGAAATCCTCTGATCCCCATTTTTCCTTTTCAATTTGAATAAAAAAAGTCAAATTGAATTCTGAATATGAAGGTTATGAACAGGTATTTCAACAGTCACTTAATATGGTACAGATGGAGTATTTTACTTAAAATCAATTTGTAAATCTACTCTGCTTTCTTATTTTTAAATTTAGGAACTCCACTTTTCTTTAATAAACTAGAATTTATGACTATGACAGAATTGATTCTAAAAATTGTTTTTCAGGCCCTGCTGCATTTCGTCCTCGAACACATGCATCATCTTACAAATCTTCAGTTGAGAAAGGACGACCTGTGCTACAAGGACTTTTGGGAATTGCTTTTTTGGCTGAAGAGGTGCTTTGTATTTTTTTTTTTTGGAATTTTTTTTAAAGATGAAGCCGTGCTCCGTATTCACTTTTTTGGCATTTATTTATTAGGAACCAGCCAACTAGGTTAATGGAATGAGGATTTTCAGCTACAGTTAGAATTATAGCTTGCAAATGTTTATTCAATGACATATTGTTCTACCCTACTCTACTCTGTGTGTGTGTGTGTGTGTTTGGGGGGGGGGGGAATTAAACACAGTGTGAAATTTCAAATTCTTAGAGCTAAATTGGAGCCTTTCTTTATATTAAGGAAAAATGACTAGAACGGGTTATACTTGGGTCAATTTTACATAATAGGTTAATGGTGTGAATGGTGTGAAGAGTTCATTTGAAATTTCACCAGAATAAAGTACCTAGATATTATGCACATATAAGCACACTCTCTCCCTCTATTTTTATGATTGTTATCAAATTAAAATATATTGTTCTTAGTCTTCCTACTCCAGTTTGATGACTCTTTTTTTTACTGGGCTGAGTTTTCGGCAGTTCTTGAAAAGCAAAGTTATATGCTTATTGGAAGATATGACATCGAAAATCTGCTGCGACTTGATCCAGCTAGTACATACTTACCAACTTCAGTTCATTATCCGAACTCAGAAACTAATGCTTCTGATGCTAAAGAGGTTGAAAAAGGAAAAAGCAATCTACTACTGAATCTGAGGCCTATCAAGAAGGTATGTATCCTCTGAGGGTCATTTCATGAAAATTAGTGTAGGCTTAGGACTCAAAAATCTATTATGGTCTTTGTAGTTTTGTCCTCAATCCACTTTGACCGGTTAATCATACAACTATATATCAGGGGGGATTTATTCAAGGGGATGAGGGATATGGGATTGGTGCTATGGTTGAATTTTGAATCCTCCAGTTAATGTTGTTGTCATTTGTGATCCTGTCATTTCCTTATTTTCAGGAGAACCTGATTCGCGATGATAGCAAACTTGTTCTTTTGGCATCCTTGAGCGACTCATTGGAATTTGTTGCAGACTTTGTAGAAGGGTAAGTTATTATTACTTATTAGCCTCCATGGCACACTTTCTGAAACTTGAGTTGGTAAAACAGTTTATGTCATTGCATTTTACTCTAAATGGTGTTATGAGAGAACTTTAGAAGGAAAGTGAATGAAATGATGTTGAGACACTCACTCATCCACTCACCCTCCGGCCCCCACCTCATTGTCCACACATGTTATGCTGCTCGCTCTGTTCATATTTTCACATGGTTTCTATGGATTGGGTGTACTATAAAATTAGAAATTTCATCAACGGTTAACGACTTTGTAAGCGCCTCATTTCGATATACAACAACAACAAAGCATTATTCGACTAGGTGGGATCGGTTACATGGATCAAATTCCATTCCTCCCTATCATGCATCATATATACCGACATGAGATCATTCACGTGAAGGTCCCCCTTGACCACTTCTTGCCAAGTCTTCTTACGTGTATCTTTTCCTTTGCGACATGTCTATTCACCATTTGATCAACCCTTCACATCGGATGTTCTATTGGTCTTTTCTCCACATGTCCAAACCACTTAAGACGAGTTTCCTTAATCTTTTCTACAATGGGTGTCACTCCAACTTTACCTCTCATATCTTCATTCATTATGTATGGGACAACACTGGGTAGGTTGTTGTTGCTGTTATCATTTCCTCACTTCTTCCAAATAGAGATGGGGATAGCCGATGCAATTGTAGACCTTGTGGGCAGTGGAACAACTTAGAGAGAGAACAATCTAAAAGAGATTGCGGGTGGAGTCATCTCGCAAAGTCAGGTAATTTTTCAGCCTCTAATGCTAATGGGTTTTCGCGTTCTGCAGTTCTGCTATTGTCAATGTGGAGTGTTTATTACACAAAAAGTTATTGATTGAGACTAAATTTACTGGGGAAGAGCAAAGGTTTTGAAAAATATGCATACACTATTGATAATATTTCATGTGTGTGAATGTCAGAAATAGATATTCATAGGCCATCACGTTTGGGTAACAAATGTTCCTGACTATCATTTGCAAAACCCTTCAAGTATACATAATATATTATATAGTGCAATGGCCCTTTGACCTCATTACTTTCCAAAGATTATTGCTCCCATTTTAAAACACTAGAACAATCGTTATAAAATATTAAGTGTCATTTTGTTTGAGGAAAGAATGCAGTCAAAGGGACATTGCACTGTATTATGTTATAAAATATTAATAGTATCATTTTAAAACATGTTTTCGGCTCATATTGACAGGCAGGCACATTTTCAAGGGATGTAGAGTTCCAAAGTTTGCATAGTCACATACCCTCATTATGACATATTAGTACAACACCTGATGGACATAAAATATTATGATTAATATTTCTGCACAGGCGGTCCTTGTTGCTAGCAGGAAATCATTGACACGTAA